ACAACTTTGATCAAAGGATCGGCTTCACTTGTCTCTTTGACGAGTTGTTGAATGGTGCTAAGAATGACGATACTCACTGACGATGCCGGCGAAAAGTTTGGGAATGTACCACGTCCACGGTTCAACTTTGGAAATGATCATGCGGACAATGGACTCCAGACTAGGTGCGTACCTCTAAGTCTTCCTACCAACATGACCGAGTTGCGAAAACAAGGTCAAACAACCTCTATCACAAGTTATGTTGTTTTGCTCTGACGAGGTCCGTCACGTGATAGACTAAAACTCAGCAAGGATTCATCCAGGTCGCAGGACGGTGCGCCGATGACTTATTTGCACAAATCCTCAGGCACAGCTTCTTGTGAGGCAAACTAACGAAAATATTCCACTTGCCTCTTCAAACGAAATGAAAGTTATTCCAGCCTCAATCAAGACTTAGTTGAAATATCTGTTTTTTTTCGGTAAATAAACTATGGCTTTGGCCTGATACAAATATATTACTGCGGAAATTTTGCAAGTAGTATGATTATTATTTTGATTTTTCATTCAACCTCTGTGAGTTCACTAAAAAGACTACATATTCTGATTCGCGGTGCCTAACGAAACAAGTCAATTTTTTATACAACTTACCTTCGTTGGCTCACACATAATTAGGCTATATTTGTCATAATCAGTCCGCTAGCACTTAAGCATAAGATTCGCCCATTAAACTAAGTCTGGTTGACCTCTCTTCGTACCACGGGATTTAATTTATTAAAATAAAGTGAACCTATTCTGTACCAACTAAACTACTCTAATATATATATTGATAATATTTTTGTTTTTTAATTTTTATTAGTGAAAAGCCTTAATTAGTATTTATTAACTTTGCTAATGCTCCTGCCTAACTATTCATTTTTCCTCCATTTATCCGCTTTAACACTCGTCGACAAAATATTATTACGTAACTGAGAGTGTTCGCACACACATACACACGCACATGTATACATGCTTGCATACCCAAATGCATTTCTGCGCACACTTAAATATACACATACACAAATACTTGAATATGTAACGAGTAGACTGGTGAGATGGAGGTGAAGAATCCACTTTTTCAAGAAGAAATGGTTAACCACCTGAGCCTTAATTTGGGCAACGAGGACCTTGGGATGGATGGATTCAACAACGGAGGGCTGAATCAGGCCAAGAATACGTCTTGTAGAAGCGGATCAGAGGGCGATGAAAATGACAGCTGCGGGAGTCTAGGAGAGGATGGTTCCTCCTCAACAGCTACACCAACCGGCACGGATTAGCCCGATGATAATTGTCTGGCCTGGATCTTGCTATGAAGAGGAGATGCAGAAACACAAAGGGGACAAACAGCAGATGGGAACTTGCCGAGAAATTGATCTCCTGTGTTTCTGTAACCTACTCAGTACCAAGTCAATCCAGTTCGACCTGCTCTTCGCCTCGCCTTTAGCGATTTGGTACCAGTTTATGTTCATCTCTCCTCATCTTCTCACCTGTTTTCCTTCTCCAACCGGGACTACCCACCTCAACGATACAATTTTTATGAAGAAACCCTTCTTTTACGTTTTCTCCTCAGAAGTATACTCAACGAAATTCCTCTTTTATCGCCTCTTAGTATAGTTTTATCTCACGAAAAGCACTTCATTTGCCGTTACCTCGTTGTTTGTGCTTACGTCTGCAATACACGATTCACAATACACACGTCCAACAAAATTGCCCATTTATGCAACTAGTTTTTTGTCTTATCACAGTACCTATACAGTGAAATCTCATTTCCCACTCAGCTGTTTTCATTTGTTCTCCGGCAACCAGAACAAATGGATAGAAAATCTCGCAAGTGTCTGTGTGTTTTATATGTAACCTCGAGGCTACTTCTGTCTACACGTCAGTTTTGTGTGCAGTGTTAAAATTTACACTATTATATTTTATCGTAAATGATTACCTTTATACCGCACACCATAACATCTCCCCGCCCCTCCGTCCATGCTTAGACGCATAACATTTTACACCCCAGTTACTTTGCCCACAAAACCATGAAACCGGTCCTTATTTGTGTGAAGAAGACACACTGGCATGCATACAATAGCATAAGTTTTGGCATACCCCATCTATAATGAATGGGCTAAACTCACCTTTCGTTTTAAAGTGTAGAGGAAGAGTACCTGCAGTCGCCTCCCATTTTCTTCATTGTGTCTTGTATTCATCGAGTCTTGCATTCTATTGTTTCGAGATTAATCGACATTTCGTCAATATTTTGTCGTACCCATCTCTACCATCACAAGGGACTTTTTGCTTTATCTTCAGGGACAGGGAAGGCCGTTGTATCAGAGTAAGTTGGTTAACTCACGTTATTCGCCAATATAGAAGCATGGGCATATAAATACTTTTTGGTGTGCATGTATGTTCATGTATCCATAGAACAGCGTCTATAAGAGGGAACCAGTCGGCTGGCCAAGAAGAATTCGCTTTCATCTTCAGGCAAGATCGACCTTCGAATCTTTTCATTATACGCTTACACTCGAAATTGAAATGAGCTTAACAATTTTTACAAAATACAACAGTCTGGCAGATCCAATGGAAGGCTTGGTACTGTTGTCGAGACTGTAATTGGTCAACAATCGAATGAGTCAGGATGGGAGGTGCTCATAATTAGTCATTGCAAAATGTGGGTGTTGGAAAATTTTATATGAAGAGTAATTCGTTTTCAAAGAATCTCTTGAGGCAACACTGTTGTTCACTGTTCACTTCGTGCGTAAGTGCCTGATGAAGAGATTCGTAAGGAGGTCACACGAGAAGATGACGGCTGATTCCCGCTATCGTGCAGACGTTGTATGTTATTACGAATTTCCGGTTGACGCAGTTTACGAGGTCCCCTGCCTCGTTTCTGGTGAAAACGGACTGAACTTGCATCCATCATGCCACATGATGGGCATTGCCAGGGCTGAAATTCATTCTTCCAAAAACTTCAAGTTCAGATAAAGTGCAGAAGACTAACCGGCTTCATCCCACAAGTCATATATACTCACATCTAAAAGGATGTTTGATAGATAGATAGATAGATGGAGATAGATAGATAGATGAATATATACATATAGAGTGATCTGGTAAGTTATGACTCAAGTGAATCATATTATTTAAACTTAAGTGTGTGTGTATGTGTGTGCTTCTACCTTTGTTAGAATCACTACACGTGTAAGTAAGTCTACGAAATACCGGTCATCACTTAGAGTAATTACAAGCATTAGGTGTATGAATAGAAGCTGGGTTTTAAAGAATTTCTTAATGAAATATTGTGGCATGACTCTCCATTTCAAAGGTAAAGTGGGTTGGAAGTAATTCGTGATATGGTCTCATCGGAAGCAGAAGGAGGATTGTCGCATAAGGAAGAATGTTGGATTGTTCGAAGAAGTCCTCGGCTCGCCGTCCTGCGACCCTGATGAGACTGAGATAAGCTTTCGTCTGTACCTTTGTGACAGACATAATAATAGCAGGTATCCATACTTCACGAAATGAAGCAAAATGTACTAAACCAAGATAAGAAGGTGACATGCAGCAACCATAGTCGATTTTTTATACACCCAACGTCACGATCTCTCCTGATTTGGACGGCCACTTCAACCTTCCTCTACATCCTTGCTAATGAGTGAAGTTATTTACCAGAACAGGAAGTGCGTTCGGTGGCAGCTATTTTATCACACACAAAAACTAGCGTAAGATCGCCTAATGCTGAAGCATGTTTGGGCTTGTGCTATTGTCTAGTGTGTGTATGCAATGCTCATGTCATGGATAGTATGAAAGTCCCAGCTAGACACGAGTCTAATCTAGCCTCCTTCTCTTGCTCACTGGCTCTTCCTGCACCCCCTCTAACTCCCTTTTGTTAAGTCTATCCTACTTAATTTTCTAAATTCGTTCCTCCTATTCACGACGTTGATTGATTTGCTAATTTCTATGGGCTCCCTAAAACGTTGTTTTTGGGACCAGTGTATTGATTGTCACTTATTCGCAAAATGTATTCAGTGAGCTCGGATTTTTGGACCCACAGACCTTTACAAGCGGTTTCGTGTTCGCATAGTCTCTTGCGAATGGGTTGGCAGGTCCCCCCACATATATTCTGCCAGGTGAGCACAAAACCTCGTAGTAGCATGATTTAAAAAGAGGGTCTGAATATTCTCTAAACTAACGAACTACTGAAAATAGTGTTAATTTATCCTTACGCATTGTTTTTATATTCCATTTCCTTAGTAGATCACCCAACTTTTTCGCAAGCAGACAGGAAGGCAAAATGAGGAACCGAATAGAAGTGACCAATTTTCTAACCCTCGCCTGATAGCAACCTCCCTTAATCTTGCTAACTACACTTAAGACGTAATTGTATACTAATCCTAATGGGTAATTGTTTTGAGATGTATTCACTCTATTTCGTTTAAGGTTATGAAGGACTGGTAGTAGAAATTTCCCACAATGATATGACTAGAGATGACGTTTCCATTGAATTTGACATACCCTTGCTTTCCCAAAATATGTTCTCATCCAGGCACAAGTGGACTGCATTTTCGACCTCGCATTGGTCTTATCAACACCCCCATCGGGAGTCGAACCGTGGCAGTGCAGAATGTGAGCTTGACACGTTAACCACTCGGCCACATTGCCACGAATGCCCTTTGGTCACAAGTAACATCTAATATTACTGATTTACTGGTAGTCTTGAAACTCTACTTACATAGGAAAAATAAGTAACGTAGTCCATTGTTGTAGCAAATTTACGTCTGCTTCATCAAAAATCTCACCAAAGAATGTGATATGGCAAAAGGCCTAGCGTTCCTTAAAATTCACATCTGCCCTGCGACCCAATTGCACTCATGGCATTGTAGCCGAGTGGTTAACGTGTAAAGCTCACATGCTGCACTGTCGCGGTTCGACTCCCGCTGGGGGTGTTGATAAGACCAATGCAAGGTCGGAACTACAGTCCACTGGTCCTGAATGAGAACAACTTTTGGGAAAACAAGGCTATGTGAACGTATATGGAAACGTCATCTCTACTCATATTATTGTGAGAAAATTCTAATACAAATCCTTCATCAACTTAAACAAACTAGGGTGAATACATCTCATATTACTGATTTACTGGTAGTCTATCCCTCAATCTAACAACCATATGGCCCCTATGGTTTGCATCTGATAGGCGCAGACTCCTTATTATCACAGACTTCATAACTTTACTTTATATGTAATAAGGAAACCCGCATGTGCGCCTTCATTGCCTCGTTTATCGGAATATTAGTTAACATAGACACTACATCGAAACTTACCAGCAAACCTCCTCGTTCTATCGTCTGATCATCAATTGACTAAATACAGTTCCGAACACCATAGGGGGAATGGAATGGAATAAAGATTGTTGAATTGTGCAAAAAATTCTTTGGCTTATCATACTGCGAATCTGATGAACCTGTGCTAAACCTTTGCCCGTAATACAAATGAGTTCCTCAATGCGGGAAACTACGGACTCTTCACACAATCCAGTAGTCTTCACTCTATCTTTGGTGAGGCTAATTTACGCATCCCTTCAACCCGCTTTAACAAACGAAATGATAGGTGTACTTTTCAAACTCCAGTCTAACTCTATATTTAAACTTAACGTACACTCATCAACAAATTTAGGATAATAGGAACATAGTAAATGAGTAAATATATTTAATTATTCCTTACTAATGTGATCTTCCTTAATAGGTGAGATCGTGTTTGTGAATTGGATTCAGAGGCAACCTAGTGGATGCTTGACTATAAAGAATAAAAAGGGAAACATTTTAATTAAATATACTTCATAAGACAATGGATTGATGAAAGAAGCAGTTAGAGAAGTAGTCAGTAGTGAGAAATAAACCAATCAAGTTCGAGAAAAAGGGTGATACTAAAGTAAATG